GGGGCTGGTGGAATCACCACCCTGGGAGGAAGTTAAGAGACATGTGGACAAGGTGCTCAGGGACATGGTTTAGTGGTGGCCTTGGCAGTGCTGGGTTAAAGGGTGGACTCGATCTGAAGGGTCTTTTTAAACCTAAAATGTTCTCTGATTACCTCCATCTTATGAGCAGACACAGCAAAACAGAAGAAAACACCAGATCACAGGTACCTTGCTCTGCGAATACTGAACAAGACGCAGGGAACTTGCCCAGCAGAAGGTTCCAACCTACGGCCTCAGACCCTGCAGGCCTCTCACCAGTCATTTGATTTGCCAGAAGTGAGAATTTCACAGATGCCATTTAAAGTACAGCAGCTGAACACAGGCACTGAGCTCAGTGGTAGAGACTAAAAGGCATCCACGTGTGACTAGTTTTAAGGTGAAAAGAACCTTTTACTCACTGAATCCTGTGGTCAAGCAAGCATGGTGGCTGACAGCCTAATGAATAGGCAAGTGTTTTCGGGCACCACATCACGCTCAAATTTGGGGTCTTAAAGAGCTCTCTTGAAATAGTAGGACCTTGTTGTTCAGATTTATTTTTTTTCCTCACAGCAGGAAAGTTGCTGAGTTTTGATTTAAAACTGTAGCTAATTTCAGGGGCAGTATACCTTCCCAGACTATAATTTATTCTTTTAAATATAAATGTAAATTTATTCTTATAAATTCACCTGGTTGCTGTGAACTTCACATGGGATTTAGGTTTAGAATCCATTCTAATTATTCTCCTTATTCAACCAGAAATCAAGACACTTTCCATAGGTCTAGAATACAAGCCTATTAAATGTTCACAAACTCCTATTATACACATGCCAAAACCCATTAAACTATTTTGTACCTCACAACCCTCTGGCAGGTTAATGTCACTAAAGTATGACATGATCCAATTTATCATTTTCAATGGACAAACAGCAGCCATACAACCTCAAGACTGATTCATGAAACAAGTATCAAAACACATGCTATGCTCCCTTCTTGGAATCAGAAACTAAAATTCTGCCTTCTGACCAAAAAAAAGCCTGTTGCAATTTCACTGTTATCAGCACCATACCTCCACAAATTCCTCAAAACATAATTATTTCCACAGTAATGACAATTAAAAGGAATTAAAGAGAGAGTTCTTTATCAAGCTGAAGTTTTCCTTGGGACTGATTTTCCACTACAAATACTACATATAATCATAGAATCACAGAATAGTTTGGGTCAGGCAACTTAAACCTCGTCTAGTTCCAACCCCCCTGCCATGGGGACACCTCCCACTAGACCAGGTTGCTCAAAGCCCCGTCCAACCTGGCCTTGGACACTTCCAGGGATGAAAACACACATTGTTTTCATTTTTTTTTCCACCACTAATTCCCTTTGGACTGTGATCATTACAATGTGCAGTATCACAAGTCAGTGCTTCAGCCAGAAGTGATAGCTAGCCCTCATGGAGTCCCATTTCCACAGAACAGTTGTAGTGAATCCTGAAGAAAGGCAAGAACCTAGTTCTCAGTTGGCTTCCACACCTTGCTATCAGTGTGAATGGGGCTGCAAACCAGTCAAACTTGGCCATATATTTACTGATATAATTAGTTCCATATATGTTTTCAAAGCTTTGCACCTGCACCAGCTTAATTTGACTCTGCTACTCTTGAAATAAATAACTGAGCTGAATCTTCTCTTTTTCATATGACATAGGAACTTAGAAGTTTCTTTGGCATCAGCACCAGGGTGAAGCCGTGATTCAGTGCAACACAAGATAGTATTTGTTTTGGCACCAAGTGTTCTTTACACCACACATACCAGCAATCTGATCCAATCTGTTGTAAAGCCGCTTAAAACGAAAGGTTAGGTTAAAAAAAAAAAAGAAATCATCAAGTGCTTAACATTACACACTAAAAGAGATCATCAAGTGCTTAACATTACACACCTCTTGGTAGTTCAATAATGCTGGCTTCTCCTGTGCCTCCACCTTCAGATCTGCACTTCAAAACATTTGTTTAGATTCTCTTCTAGGGCCAAGCACAGAAGGAAGCATGTCCCTTTTCCACACCCTTAGCTGAGGAGGACCAATGCCTCCACTTTCTGAATACATTTCTTAAATTCCCAAGCCTTTCAGGTGCTCAAGGCACATCAGCCTTTCAGTGAGACACAGGTATTTCTGAAAATTTGACCATTTCAGACCTCTCCTACTGCAAAAACATTATTGTTGTTCCTTCAAATGGCAGTTAACAGACATGACACCTTTCTCCAGACTTCTTAAATACAAGCACAATTTACAAGGGCCTGTAGTAACAGGACAAGGGGTAACGGGTTTAAATTGAAAGTGGGGAGGTTTAGATTAGATATCAGGAAGAAATTCTTCCTGCAGAGGGTGGGAGCACTGGGACAGGTTGCCCAGAGAAGCTGTGGATGCCCCATCCCTGGGAGTGTCCAAGGCCAGGCTGGATGAGGCTTGGAGCAACCTGGTCTAGTAGAATGTGTCCCTGTCCATGGCAGGGGAGTTGGAACTAGATGATCTTTAAGGTTCCTTCCAACCCAAACCATTCTGTGATTCTATGATTCTTTTGGCAGCAATCAAGGTTCAGTGGTTGAAATAGCCTTACCTAGGTTGATTTTCCTGGGAAAGATTCTCCGCTCTCTGGTACCCATTGTCCGCCACCTGAGTTGTGGACCGCTTAACAATCTGCTTGAGTTCTTGTTCTAAGCGATCCTGGATGGCTTTCACTGTTTCAGGGATTTTTTTCAGCTTGGCCAGCCCTTTGATGAGTATGCCCATGAAGACAGTGCTGTTCTCCTCTGGGTCCAGGTCCGTATCTTCTTTAATTTCCAGAAGGCTTGTTTCCCGCACTGGAATAGATTTTAAAAGGTATAATTCAAGATTGGAACTATTAAAAACAAGACTTAACACCATGGAGCATAAACATTTAAACTCCTTTGCCTTCACAGAACTCCCACCACATTGAACAACCAAGGAATAAACAAGGAAACCAAGCAACACACTGATTTTTGAGGGGAAGTGGTGGGTATCTGATTGCTTGGGGGGTTCCCTATACACAGACACAACAGCCTGCACATTTGATTCATTCAGAAACAGAGATCACTGTGTAAGTTACCTATTAGCTCCAAAACAGAGGGAGTCTGGTGCAATTAAGATATTCGTAAATGAGAAGGTATTATTT